CTCAAACCACTTTGGTTGTTTTCTTGCGACATCTGGCAGCACTGGTCAAGCGTCTATTTCATACTGGCAAAAAGTGGGAACCAACAAACAGGAACTGTGTTTGAAACACACATCTGACGGACGCATTTCTGGGATTGCTGAATTATGTCAGAAAAGGGTGACATTCAACAGACGACTATTTTATTGATTTATGTGCATCGGACGTGAGATATGACGTTGGTGAGGCAAACTAGTTACTTTGGAATATAGCCTTACTGTGCTGCCGGTAATTGTTTATCGCATAAACAATGTTTTTATGAACAATGTTGATAGTCACTATGGAATCAATCCATCTAAAAATGCATTAATTCCATCCCATTTATGCCATATGCAGGCCAAATCATATTGCCCACACGTTTGTTGGGTTTTGTGGATCAGTATGACAGTGAGTTATGTGTTCCCAACATTATTAATCATTACAAAGTCTTAAATATTTTATTTAAATATTTTATTTAGTAAGGCCTATATCAATGCTCTTCAATGTAAATAATGTTTTGAGCGAAAATAATTGTTTATTAGCATGATCATCAGACATGGGAAATGCATATTGTTTATTGTTAAAATACTGAAATGTAATTATTTTATTTAAATAATTAAATATTATTTAGTCAAGAATGCATATACAAATATATATATAGGCTAAAAAATATACCAGATGAATTACTTTAAAAATATTTAAATTAGTTTTGTGGATAATTGTTAAACCCATTTGGCCTTTTGTGCTGTCAGATTATTTCAGATTTTGTATTCATTTTGTTGGTGTTTAAAAATTAAAGCATTGTTTATGCCCATAAAGAAACAGGCAGCAACAAAATAAATGTTTCCATTTATGCAGATGCAGATTATCTTTATTCTTTTTATTATCTTGTGAAGTGTGAATTATACTGTCAGTATTAAAATTCTTGTTGGGCCAAAATTAAGTGGATTAATTATATTCGGGATTAATCCAGAGGCGTGAAATGCAACAATCATCCTCCATTCAGAGGCCTCAACAGGAAAAGTAAAACATTCGCTCAGCTGTACTAAGTTGCCATGGTTAGTAATGACCTTAAAATTCTAGGGCAGCAAAGTAAGTCCTGTTGCATCAGGCTGTTTCAAAGAAAGCAGAGAAGCTTTTCCAGTTTTCACCCGTGAGAAGTGTATTTCACCCCCATATTCCCCTTTGGCTTTCAGGCAAAGGCAAGCCCTTTCCAAGCCAGCCGGGGCTGACAGGCATGCAGTGGCTGAGTCAGTGCCTCCGTTCATATGACTAATTAGACAAGCTTCACGCTGCGCTGTTCTTTTTGATGCTGAGCCTGGTGCTAATTGCCACGTCCGTCTTGGGGCACATGGAGGTTAAGTTCAAATGCAGTGCCGGCTCGCTGCACTCCTCCACCCCACCGTCTAAACGGCCCCTTCTCAACCTTTTTTTGCCATGACCGGAGCCTGTTGGGGACAGGCTTGGGATCAGGCGGTGTGTGCAGGGAACACGGACTGTAGAGGATAAGTGTTCGGACGAGAAGGAGGAGGGGTAATAGAACTATCTCAGATTAGGCTCATTAAGGACTAAAAATGAATGAGGTGTCTTGGCTCAAGCAGGGCTAAATCAACCCAGGAAGTCTGAGTCTGACCTCTTGCCTTCTCATCACCTCAAACCCTTCTGTTCTTCCAGCTTGTGGCAGTAATTTTTTACAGGGCCCATCAGAGGGGGGGAGGTGGCCCCATGTAAGAGCGAAAGTGGCTTAAAGTCATTAGTCTTGTGTGAGTGAGTGAGAACTTGTCAGAGTGATGCTCATAGTTTGCTTAACGCTGCGATGTCACAAGTAAACAGGCTGCCGATAGTACTGATGGATGTGGTTTTGACTTTTTGGGTGTGACCTTTAACACTCATTTTTTTACACCACCAGTACTTTCTACAGTGGTTATTGTTGGTGCTTTGAATAAAATTATTTATTAGGGCATAAATCGAATGTCTTTTTTGCAAAAAAGTTTTTTTATTTTCTTTATTTTCTAAAAACAGTGCTTTCTCTCAGTTGTGTGACTGTGGCATTCATCCATT